TGTATGTGTCTTTGTTAATGTATGTATGTATGTGTCTTTGTTAATGTATGTATGTGTGTGTCTTTGTTAGTGTATGTGTGTCTTTGTTAGTGTATGTATGTGTGTCTTTGTTAGTGTATGTGTGTGTCTTTGTTAGTGTATGTGTGTGTGCAAAAAGACATCATTGTTTTACTGAGATTCCTGTCTTACCTAGCTCCTCAATACTTAAAGAGTCTTTACAACTGTTATATTGTTCTTGTCTTTGGTATCAACTGAAAGAACAGAATTAAATTTTAGAAAAAATATGTTCACTCTTCACACAGCAAAACAATAATATTCCTGAAAATAAAGTATCTGCTTAGGTCTGCCAAAGATCAGACTGTGCTTGTGTAACATGTGTACAAGTATCTGTGTGTGTGTGTGTGTGTGTGTGTGTGTGTGTGTACATGCACAGTCACGTTCCATATGTGAAATAAATAGCTACTTATTCTATAGACCCTGCTGTCTTACCTCTCTCCTTCACATCTTCTGACACAGTCTTTGTGTCTTTGACATCAACTGAAGAAATAAAAGGAAAACAAAACAAATAAACATTTCATACCTGTGCACATCAAGAATATAATACATTATAACATGTACATAGTCAAAGACACATTCAAAAATTCAGACCACTGAACAGTGAATTAACACAGTGCCTGAGTGTGTGTGTGTACATATTTAAGTGTGTTAAATGAATACTCGTTTAATTGGCCTTACTGTCTTACCTCTCTCCTCGATGCCCTCAGCATCTTACTCACTGAATTTTTTGTTTCTTTGATATTGGCTAAAAAAAAAAAAAAGTAAAAACTTAATATTTCATTTCTGTGCATGTTCAGATAGGATTCATACATAACAGAGTATTACAATTTGTAGAAGACACATATATTAAATAATATACTCATGATAAAGTTTGCTAAAGAACAGACTTTGTAGGAGGAACATGGTGTGTGTGTGCGTGTGTGTGTGTGCATGCACACATGTGTATGTTTATCTGTGTATTAAAGTCATAATTACTGTATTTAACACATCAATATGTAGAGTGTGTCTGTTTGTGCATGTGTGTGTGTGTGTGTGTGTGTGTGTGTATGTGTATGTGTGTGGATGTCATCAGTGTCATAAACAGATACAATGTACTTATTCTATAGACCCTGCTGTCTTACCTCTCTCCTTCAGGTCCTCTGTCACAGTTTTTGTGTCTTTAACATCAACTAAAGAAATAAAAGGAAAACAAATGAAATATTTTATACCTTACACAACAAGATTCAATACATTATTTGACACAGTCAAAGTCACATTCAAAGAATTAAAACTGGGTGTTTGTGTGTGAGAGACTTCACCTGAAAATACATCTGTGTGTTTGCAGTGGTGGATTTAGAGGGGGGCCAGGAGGATCCTTCCCCCCCCCCCCCCTTTGATTTCTGGTCCCCTCTTGAAATTAGAATTTTGACGAGCTGAATCATAGTTCTAAACTGTACCAAATGGCACCCTTCGACCTCTAAAATACCAAAAATTTTCAGGGCCGTTTAGCAGGCCACGAACCCCGAGTGGGGGGTCGGGGGGGGGGGGGGGTTGGCATCCACAGACCCCCCCCTTCAAATAATCCTGGATCCACCCCTGTCGTGTGTGCACTTTTTAAGTGTGTTAAATTGACCTTACTGTCTTACCTCTCTCCTCAAAGCCCTCATCCTTTGACATATACTCTTTCGGTTCTTTGATTTCAGCTAGAAGAGAAAAAATATCGTGTAAAAACTTAAAATTCCATATTTGGGCTTGTTCAAATAGGATTCATGCACAACTGAGTATATTACAGTTGGTTGAAGACACATTCAAAGATTTAATTGACTTAAAAATAAATAAATCATCTTCTTATGTATGCTCAAGACCAGACTTTGCTTAAGCAACATGCTTGTGGTGTGTATGTATGTGTGTGTGTCTTTGTTAATGTATGTGCATGTGCAAACATGTTTCATAAGTATGTTAAAAGACAATTGTTTTACTGAGATTCCTGTCTTACCTAGCTCCTCAATACTTAGAGTCTTTATAAGTGTTATATTGTTCTTGTCTTTGGTATCAACTGAAATAGAACAGAATTAAATTTTAGAAAAAAATATGTTCACTATTTACACAGCAAAACATTAATATTCTTGAAAATAAATCTACTTAGGTCTGCCAAAGATCAGACTGTGCTTGTGCAACATGTGTACAAGTACCTGTGTGTGTGTGTGTGTGTGTGTGTGTGTGTGTGTGTACATGCACAGTCACATTCCATATGTGAAATAAATAGCTACTTATTTTATAGACCCTGCTGTCTTACCTCTCTCCTTCACATCTTCTGACACAGTCTTTGTGTCTTTGATATCAACTGAAGAAATAAAAGGAAAACAAAATAAATAAACATTTCATACCTGTGCACATCAAGAATTCAATACATTATAACATGTACATAGTCAAAGACACATTCAAAAATTCAGACCACTGAACAGTGAATTACACAGTGCCTGAGTGTGTGTGTGTGTGTGCGTACATATTTAAGCGTGTTAAATGAATACTCGTTTAATTGTCCTTACTGTCTTACCTCTCTCCTCGATGCCCTTCAGCATCTGACTCACTGAATTTTTTGTTTCTTTGAAATTGGCTAAAAAAAAAAAAGTAAAAACTTAACATTCCATATCTGTGCATGTTCAGATAGGATTCATACATAACAGAGTATTACAATATGTAGAAGACACATATATTAAATAATATACTCATGATTAAGTTTGCTAAAGAACAGACTTTGTAGGAGGAACATGGTGTGTGTGTGTGCATGTTTATCTGTGTATTAAAGTCATAATTACTGTATTTAACTTAGATTCCAGTCTAACCTACCTCCTCAACACCCATTCCCATAGATTTTAGATCGACCTATCCCTGTGAGGAATCTCACTAGATTACTGTCAGCTTAGCTGGCTTAAGTGTCTGTCCCACCTACTAAAAGCTGTAAGGGGGTAATTAACTATGGTGCGCACTCGGCTGA